AAAAACACTGGTATTTGCAGTGTTTTGTGCATCTCAAGTCCAAAAAGTATTGGTATTTACAGCATTTTCTGCGTTTTTGCATTGCTCCCGCAAAAGACGTTAAAACGCAAAAATGCTATAATTTACAGCATTTTGTCCATTTCGAAAAGCTGAAAATCGTCCGAAAAATGTGTCAAAACGGCACTTTTTTCCGATTTTAGGTACCCTCCAAACGGGGGGGGGGGCCTTTTGCTCTTGGAGACGCTTATGAGCGACCCGGATTCCGGCCAAAAAGCTTTCCCCCACCCTCCTGAAGGATTTTTGGTGTTTTTCGGGGCCCGCCGTCGGAGGGTCGACGGTTTGGGGCGCGCCTCACCATAGAGCTCTAGTCGCTCTGGGACGCTCGTAGGGCAAGCCACTCGTGTGGAGCCGGCGGAGCCGAATTTAAGAGCTGACGCTCAGTATCGGCTCCGCCGGAGCCAAGGCCGGCCCGAAAGACAGTGTAGAGAGCGAAATTTGGTTCCAATGATCAAGTTAATTCAACAGTTGAAGTTGTGGCTTGAGCGTCTTTATTTCTCATCCAGCCACAGGCCGTCAGGGCATTGTGGTTGGTCACACTATTCGGGTTCAATAGTGATTGGTTTCCGAATGGTTGCGACTTGAGACACACTTGCTGACTTCATGTGACTGCCCAAAGCATTTGGAAGCCACAGCCATTTGTTCAAGTGTGGACGTTGGAATCATCCTGCGACTGGCTTACAAGCACTGCCGGGGCCAGAAGTCAGGCCAACGAGTGCCTAGTGCCGGTGACTTTCACGAATCAAAGCCAGAACAGCTACACCTGCCACATGCAACTTGCAAGACACAGTTTGAACAAGTGCAGCAAACTAGCAGCCCTGGGGTGCGAGCTGTGGAAGCCATGGTTGAAGTGCCCCCGCGAGGTGGCAAGAATGTAGAGCATGGACAAATGTTCTGGCAAGCTCTGATTGAGCCCTTGTTCTGGTTCGATCCAGGTACGAGTTCTGTCCGAGATGGAAAGTAGCAGGCCAAGGGCTCTAGCAATCCAGCTGATGCGGACATGTTGATAAACATAACATGTTCACTTGCGCTCCTTTCGTTGCCTAAATGACCTCATGTGAAAAAGAGGTGGGTGGTGCCTTTAAGTCGTTTTCTTAGCGTGCCTGCTTGCATGCTTTCATATGGACGTATCTTCTTCAGTGCAGACCGGTCAGAAATGGTTTGAATGATCGTTATACTTTGCAACCACCTGTAATAGAAAATAACACCCACAGAATCCAACTCCCCTCATGACTCATGACGGGAACGGCTTGAGTAATCCAGGGAGGCTACTCCCAACATGACAATCGATGATTTGCGCTCACAGGCGAGCCCTGGAGACAAGGCCGGCTAGTGGAATGGACGTACAAAGGTGTGTATATATATATATAATTTTTGAGTCTATCCGAATAACTGTAACAGGCAAAAAAAAAGAATTTCTACATAGGGACCCCCTAAAAGTGCACAAAGCAAAGGGTGATTCCGGAATTGGTCATCGGGGATTTGAGTGACATGGTGTGTGTGTGTATGCTTCACCTGCCCGACCTGCTTGCTCTGTCTGCAGCTTTGCATTCAATTTACAAATGGCATCAAATGGCAATTTGCAGTTGAACATTTTTGAGCCTGGTAGTCTCCAACGACAAATGTCTCATCGGATGCGTTGCCCGCACTAGCGGCAAGTTGGTCCTTCCTTGCATGGGCCATGGCCCCTCGACTGCTGCGCAAAAGGCTTCGGCTTGTTGTGCCTTGAGATTGTGAGCAATTTCCAAATGATGGCTGTTCATTGCTTCATAGCTTGTGCGGCCATTATTTGTAGCTGTCAGCTGTCACCTGTGACCTGTGGCCATTATGTGTGTGCTCCAGTGCGTGCTGTTTTGGTGGGTTTCTTTGTGCAATGCTTTGTGCTCCATTTCGTGCTTTTTGTGTGCTCCTTCGTGCCGTTTTGAGTGCTCCAGTTCGTGCCTTTGGTGGGTTGGCGTGTGCCATTTTTTGTGCTCCATTTCGTGCTTTGCCGCGTGCTCCTTTGTGCCGTTGCGTTTGCTCCAGTTCGTGCTTTTTGGTGTACTCCTTTGTGCCATTCCGTGTGCTCCAGTGCGCGCTTTTTGGCGGACTCCCTCGTGCCAGTTGGCGCTCTCCAGTTCGTGCTGTTTGGTGGGAGGCCTCGTGCCATTGCTATTGCTCCAGGTGGTGCTTTTTTGGAGGGTTGCCTCGTGCCATTTTGCGTGCAGGTACTGATGTGTCGCCGGTTGGTGGGCCAGAGCTTCTTTCGGCACACCAGCGCCTGACGCAAGAGAAAAAACTTGTTCTTCTTCGTGCTCCTTCTCGGGGCTTGTTTTGTTTTCGTTTTGTTTGGTTGTGCTGCTGTGCGCGTTTTAAAAGGGAGTGTTATAAAACAAAGAGCCAATAGCAAAAAGAAGGTTCCTCCCCAAGCTCAAGGTTGAAGTGCAATCAGTATCGCGCTACCGTGAGCAAAGCAACCTGTTTTTCAGCTCCCAGTTGTGCATTTTTCTGTGCTCCAGGTCGTGCTTTTTGCCATTGTGCGTGCTTCAGGTCGTGGTTTTTGGGGGGTTGCCTCGGGCCATTTTGCGTGCTCCAGTTCGTGTTGTGTGGCGTTCGCTTTGTGCCATTTTGTGTGCTCCAGTGCGTGCTTCTTGGTGTACTCCTTTGTGCCTGTTTTTTGGTGCCCTGTTTCGCTTTGTCGCGTGCTCCTTCGTGCCATTTTGCGTGCTCCAGTTGGTGTCTTTTGGTGGGTTGCCTCGTGCCAACTTTGTGTGCGCCAGTTCGTGCTTTTGCGCGTGCTCCTTCGTGCCCCAGTTCGTGCGTTTTGGTCCAGGAATCAGCCCGGCTGTCGGTTGAACGCTGGAGGGGCCCCAATGGAGTTCCCAGAATGGTGCCCCGGATACATTGCCCGCCGCACATGCAAGTATTGGGGGGTGAATAGCCGACATCACCCACCAATAATTCCTATGCGATGTCTGTTTGCATATGATCATATGAAACTGTTGAAATATAGCAGCAAAAAAGGCAAAGGCGGGACCCCATGGCACCCGAAGAAATAGTACGGCACGGGCTTGCACGGGCAAAGTCCGGGCTTGGCACGGGTTCAGCAAGCGTTTGAAAAACATTGTGTTTTGGAAAGACGCAATGTATTTTTGCCAAAAGTTCGTGTTAGCATGGGTAAAGTACGGGTTTTGCATGGGACTTAGACACAAATGAAACCCAAACCATGAGCACAGCATGTAACTATGATAGGACTATATGATATGGTTGGTTGATTTGTGTATGTGGTCAGCTGAAGTGATGCTAAAGCATGTGAAAACAACGTTTCCAGATGTTTTCGCAGTGTGCCCTGGAAAACACGAGGTTGTCATTTTTATGATTTTTAGGTTGCAAAAGTTAGGTTTTCGTTGTTTTGCTTGGCACATATATGAAGACATGTCTTTTGGTCACGAGTTCCAAAGCGCCGGCAAGAATTGCGGCGACACATCTGCATGCCCTTTTCTGTGATTATGGTGGTCAGAATGTGTGTTGCGAGGTCGACGAAGGTATGGAATCAACTACTTTGTTGCAGGTTGGCTCTGGGAGGTACAGTTGTTGGGTGTCAGGTCGGTTTTCAATCGCGACCAGAGAAGCCAAGTTTCTTAAGCAAGTTGGTCATTGAATCTGTGAGTTCGCAGGACGTGTGGCCTAGATGGAAACTGCACGCACGATGGAGGCCTTGGACGTGGTCCGTGGATCAAAGTTTCGAATGGAAAACATTACGTAAAAGTCAGCCACAGTGCAAACAATGATTCAGAGGTGACTACTTCAGGGAACAAAGGCGCTGGGCATGTAAGTTATAGTCAAGCCTAACTGATTAGAAAATTTCACGTTTGGTCCACTTCAACTAATCCCAATGAACGCCGCCAATCCGAGGTGTCTAAAACCCCATCATTCGCCAGCAGGAGAGATCGAATCGGAGGATCAGCCTGCTGCTCCCTATCTCTATGCCTCCCAGCCTTGGGCCAAAGCAGCCAGCCCTGTGCACAGTGCCGCGCCTTCCAAAACCATCGGAGCGCACCGCACTTGTGCCAAGAAACGGAAGGCAGAGGATATGGAGACGGAGGTCATCATGTAACGTAGCAGCTGGATGTTTTGTACCCTCAGGACCGAGGTGTCTAGAATCCCCCTTCCGGGGTTGCCGTTGAGAGTCTTAAAATCGTGACCACTATGATTTTGGAACCCTGAAAGAATATCAAATTAGAACCCCGAAAGTTTGGATTTATGAGCATTGTTGTGGTATAAATTGATTTCAACAGGGGTGCAGAAAAAGGAACCAAGTCGTGATGAGGTATCTGCACAAAGGTGCAAAACATGTTTGGAATTAGCATCCCTGGTTTTGGTCGAGCAAGAGTTTCATCGTCAAAACCAGGTGATTTCAACGTCGCCTGGGTAGAAATGCCGGAAAAAAGGAAGTAAAACGGTGTGGAGCAGCTGCAGCAATAAACAACCTATTGAATTATATCCGGCTACATCCGCAATTGAAAAACCACGAGCCTCACCATTACCTCCAACCTCCCACACGATGCCAATTTTGTTTGGAAAGTGCAAATGTCAGGTCAAGTTGTGATGAGCAACCTGCAGTGAAGCGCACCCTGGCTTACCCCCAGCACCTCCATTCTGTAGATACCAACACTTTCGTTCAACCAAGCCGGTTGGGAAAAAGGACGCGGGTCTATCGTGTTCAAATTCAATGGGCGAGCAGACTCTTCTTTCTAGCAATTGCTACGAACTCAGATGCGCAATTCGTTGCAATGGTTGCGCGGCAAAAAAACAGTTCCTGTGTTGCAAACATGTGGTGTGTGGATGAAGAGATGGAATGGGAGAATATGTCACGTGAAGTTACGTGGTCTTCTGCTGCTGCATGGTCACACTGAGTAATTTGAAGCCGATGGTTCCAGAGGCTAGTTAGAGACCCCGCAGCAATGGTAAAGACGTTCCCAAAGGTGCGGACACGTGCCAGAACCAAAGCAACAATTGTTGCGGGAGCAGGTTTGGAGCCTCCTCATCCAGCGCACACGCAGGTAGTTGCGCCCCAATGTCAGCCGGTTCCCGGTCCCAAGATGGTGTTCTATTGCTCTGATTTCTCTGCCTTAGATGGTGCGGCAGTTGCGCTTCGCAGACTCCGTCCCTACATGGCACATGTCTTTGGAAGTGAAAGCGCGCCAAGCCACCGTTCGGCCTTTGCGGTGTTGCATCCCAGGTGTGAAAAGCTGTACAATGACCTACTGGAACGTGAAAATTGGATGTTGCAGGGTGACCTGCCGCATTCGCCGCTCATTTCCTTGGTGTATGCAGCAAACTGCACAGCCCATGCTGTGGTTGAAGACGGGAGGGTAGCACCAGCAATGTGGCAAATTTGTGACACAATCAGGCAGCTGTTCCCAGATATCTTTCTATTGGAACTGGGCCCAGAATTGATCGAGAGCAAGCCACTCCGCACGCCGGCCCAAAAATTTTTGGATGCTTTGGTTGAAGTGCGGGATTTCGCCTACTATGTGGATTTTCGAGTGCTGGATAGTTTGAAGGTTGGAGAAGTGCCCGCCACCAGGCAGAGAATGTATTTGGTTGGCGTCAAAAAGCACAAGCTTCTACAACAGTGGCAGTGGCCGGAGACATGCCCAGCACCGAAGTTATCCCAATTCCTGGAGCCTAGGCCGAAACACGCGCACCGCATGTCCAGACCTTTGAGTGGCATCGCGCAGCAAAACCTCGCACGAGCCATGAAGGCAATCAAGAAGGCTGAGCGAAGCGCAAAACCCAGCAAGGAATGTTTTGTGGTGGACCTGGGGACTGCCCTGAACAGACGAGTTCTGTGGGCAAAGGAAAGGGTGCCATACATGAGCTACAAGCATGTCCCAGGCATGTGGATGACGCACCTCAAGGACACCATGAACCCGATGGAAATGCTGAAGTGTCAGGGTTACCACACGAAAGAGGTGGAAAAGTTGGTCCAGGAAACACATCCGACTATAGTCTATGAAATGACCAGCAAAACCTGTAATGTGAACGTTGCAGAGAAATTATTGGCAGCCCTACTACCTGCAGTTGGCGCTTGAAGCCCAACCATACACGACGCCAAACTTTGAAGGCGCCGTTGTCATGCTCATATTGCTAGAGAGGCGGAAGAGAAAAAACAGGCGTAGGTGCCAGACAGGTTAGTATAGAAACAAGTTCATTGTTAAAACAGAAGTGGGCTTCAGTTGAAGCAGTCGCACAAAGTGTGACGCACAGGCTTTTGCTGAGTCATTGTTCATGAGGGAGGAACGGAGGATATGCAACCGTTGCAAAAAGATCGTGCAGCACCTAGCAACCATGCAAGGAATGAAATCTGGTGAGATCATGTTCCAGGTCGAACTAACCACTTTACTGTCAACCAGCTTTCGCTTTCACGGAAACATTTGCTGTGGGTTTGGTGATGATTGATGAAACCTTTTGTACGGAAGTCTTCGTTGGAAACAAGTCCAGCCAATTCACTGGGATCAAGCACGCCATGCCCAGTAGCCGTTTTTGCAGCCCCAGTTGCAGCCGTTTTTGCGGCCATTTGTGCAGCTGTTTCGATGAGGCAAGTTGCAAATGGACACAGTCGGACGCCTCACACAATCAAACCGCTGTGGCTGACTGAGAGACGGACCGGTTTGTGACAGTGCGCATCACACGTGGCCATCAGTGAAAGCATGCGCAATTGGTAGACTTCTGTCGGTCAAGAATATCTGGCAGGTGCCGCAAGGAGAAAGGTACCAAGAAGAACAAGGCGCAAGAAGCACAGGAAAGAAGTGCTGGTCAGAAAGCAGTGACTGTGTGCAGACACGTATGAAAACTGCAGAGATTGTTTGCGCATGTTCCACAGTGTTTTGGCAAACAGCACGGGTTTCAAGAAGTCATCACATGGACATGAGCACGCCTGGTCCCTCTTATTGTGTGCAAGCAACCGACTAGTTACCTTGTTAGAGAATCATTTGAAGGATGAAAAGACACACATACCACATCCAAACCAGAAAGATATGGATGGAATGCAAGGCAGACACAGCGCTGCGAGCATCCAAAATTGCAAAGATTGTTTGTGCAAGTTCCACAGTGTTGTGGCAAACGGCAGGGGTTGTAAGAAAGTCATGACGCGGGCATGGGCCCCCCTGTCCCCTTTATTTTGCGAAAGCAACCAACGAGTTACCTTGTGAAAGAATCATCTGTGAAGGATTAAAAGACACACATACCACGTCCAACCAAAGCGATATGGATGGAGTGGAAGGCAGACAGAGCGCTTCGCGCAGCCGACCTGGCCACGAGGTGCTGCCAGTGCCTGGCGATGGGTACTGTTTGTTTCACTGCGTAAATTTTTTCTGCCGGCAGACTGATGCGGACGAATTTGCGTGGGATCAGCAGCGAGCCGCGGGCCTGTACTTGAGAGCTTTGGAATACTTGTGGCATGGACTGCGGCAGACCGATGCAGATGCCGCAGTCATGGAAAGCGCCTGTGTGCCTGAGTCAGACAATGAACTCAACATGCATCGGCAGTATCTGCATCAGAAAGCTGGCATACCCCCCAGAAAACTGGAAGCAGTCACTGATGCAGAGACGGTGCTGTGGAGTAAAATTGAAGCAGTGCTGAGCAAGCAAGATGGCCTGGACAGCTTTCATCATGGTTCTGTGGTGGAACTTTGGGCCTTATGCAGAATCTTTTCGTTTGAAGCAATCATTTGGGGTGGGAAAGAAGATGAGAACATCAGAGTAAGCACCCTAGAAGCCCTATCCGACGAACAAGCCAAAGAGGTCTTGAGGAACCATGTGCACGTCATGGAAGTACTTTATCGGCCGATGGGCTGTACGGGACATTATGACATCATCAAGGGGCGCGGTCACACCGGAATGGCGCAGGCAGTTTCTGGCTGGGAAAAATTGTGGCTGGAGGCAGGCAGCAAGGCAGTTCGAGAGGCAATGAAAGCCGAAGCAGCCAAACAGGGAAAAGCAGAGCATGTGCAGGAGGTGGTGTCGGTGCCCGGTGATGGATACTGCTTGTTTCACTGTGTATGCTATTTCTTCCAGCAAGGTGACAAAGGCGCCTTTGTGTGGGATCAGCAGCGAGCCGCGGGCCTGTACTTGAGAGCTTTGGAATACTTGTGGCATGGACTGCGGCAGACCGATGCAGATGCCGCAGTCATGGAAAGCGCCTGTGTGCCTGAGTCAGACAATGAACTCAACATGCATCGGCAGTATCTGCATCAGAAAGCTGGCGTACTCCCCAGAAAACTGGAAGCGGTCACTGATGCAGAGACGGTGCTGTGGAGTAAAATTGAAGCAGTGCTGAGCAAGCAAGATGGCCTGGACAGCTTTCATCATGGTTCTGTGGTGGAACTTTGGGCCTTATGCAGAATTTTTTCGTTTGAAGCAATCATTTGGGGCACACAAGCAGGCGAAAACTATCGGGTCAGCACCCTAGAAGCCATTTCCAGCGAAGAAGTCAAAGATGTCCTTGCAAAGCACACCAACGTAATGGAACTGGTGTACCAAGGCCTGGGTTGCACAGGGCATTATGATGTTGTGAAGACTTCAGTTTGCGACGGGTTGGAGTTGCTGATGCTGGGCTGGGAGAAGTTGTGGAGGGAAGGCGGCAGCCGAGCCGTTCGACAAGTTCTCAAACAGAGACCTGCCATGCAACAGGAACGTGACAGCACCGTATGGTCAGATGAGTCATCACAAGACAGCTGCAAGAGGCAGAATGAAAAACCAGAGGACGTTGAAGGGCAAGATGGCAGCACAATGTCGACGGAATCGGAGGTTGAAGGCATCCAAGGCTTGGACATAGGTGACATACGCGCTGCTGAAGGGAGACGCATCCTGACACCCGAGGATGACATGGAAGACAGGTGCAGGGCCATTCGTGTGCTGCTGCAGGAGTTTCCGATGCATCCGAAGCCATTGCAAGGTTGGTCCGCACAGTCGTGTGGCCCAATGGCAGGAGTGGCATACCCTGCAGCACATTGTGCATTCGCGGGTTGTCATTGGAACAGTGATGCGGAGCCTTGTGTTTCATGGCACACAAACCCTGGAGCCTGGGCAGTCCATGGGTCAATGTGGAAACGATCTACGGGTGCTTGCTGTGGTGACAGTACACAGTGTCTTTGGGCGCATCTTTGGGCAAAGCACAGGGAAACTTTAGCCGTACACGGTGCTGACACAACGCCCGAGGTCGGATGGTGCGCCTACAAGCGCGCGTTAGTGCTGCAAGAGGAGAGGAATGTGCCAGCACTCGGCTGGTCCGTGGATCGACGAACCTTGCGTCGCTTGCGCAGCGGCTTACAGGAGCACGAGTGCGCAGCATTGATTTGCGCATGTTGCGCCGGTATTCACAGCACCGGCACAAGAGCAAACTGTGGCTATGTGTCCGTTAAGGTCCTTTTTGGCAGCCTGACAAAGCGAAGTTTGGACGCAAACTGGAATGCAGAGGAATTTGAGCACAGGTATCAGTGGCAAGAAATGGCCCATGGGCAGGAGTGGGAACGGAAGCTACCGGGCAACATATTCGCAGGGCAGCGGGTTTTGTGCTGCCCAGAAGACATACGTTGCGACACTTGTCAAGGCCGAGATGGCCAGTTGTGCGAAGACTGTCAAATTCCTCTTTGTCGCAAATGTTGGGACGGCATGAGGCATTATCAGGACCCAAGAGTGCCAGAGGCACTAACGAACGACAACTGGTACGGCTACCCTTGGAACTTCCTGTATGAAGAAAAGGTCCGGTGGATCGAAGCGGCAGCAGCCTCACCTGTTTGGACATCAATCGTCATTTTTTACATTGAGGGCGACCGTGGTCACTTGATGGAAGAAGAATTACACCGCGGAGAAGTTCGAGCTGCCGCAAGGGGCAATATAAGCTCATTCAGTATGCCTTGGGAAGAAATTTATGGGAACTTACAGAGTGCCAATGCAGCGGATCTGTTGGACAAATTGCCTCATCCACCAGAAGCTCTCAGCCGCATGGTGAAATTCACGGTGAAAGGAATGAAGCACAGTGAAATCGTTGACTGGGTCGCCGGTGCAAAAATACGACCCTGGGTGGTCTTGAAGTTGTTAGAGCACCTCTTGGATATCGGACATCCCATGTGCAGGGGCCGAGACAAGGCAACTCTATGCCAAGAATTCAAGGAGAAGGTTGCTGCAAGATATGGGGACGTTGAAATGACACCGGCAAACGTTCAACAAGTCCTGGAGGAAAAGGCCAAGAAAGGGAATCCAACCCCGCATCAGAAGCACGCCACGCCCGCAGCGGCGAGCCTGCAGACAATGGACGGAGAGGCTTACCAGGGCAGTCTTCGCCCAAGAGATTTTGTCAGAAGACTATACCAGTGGACAGCTTGCGCATCGCGAAACCATGGAGGTGACAAGACTGGGGAACGTAGCAAAAGAGTTGTCAGTGGTCACTGGCAATACATTTTGGGACCAATGGCAAAGTCGGTTTCTGAGCTGGGCTTACCCCTTCAGCCTGCCATTGCCTGTGGGAGGCCCTGATTTTCCTTCCCGGCCGAGAGACCGGCGAAAAGAGGAAGCTGCTCGGCTAACACCTATTGCGCACTTGCGCGCCCTTGCCCGAAGAGTGGAAAGTTCCATCCGGAATTCTTGGGATTTGGTGCCGGGCGTACGACGCATCACCATGAAGTGGCACTCGGTCTGGAACGCAAAACTCTGGAGAACCTGGAGGAACAAGAAAGAGCAAGTGGCAGAAATTCCCGCAAGCACATGGGTCAGAGCAGCAGAACGCCTGTACGAAAGGCTGCGAAAGGGGAAGTATTGTACCGGCAAGCAGCTGAAACCAATAGACTACGATACAAGAAAGCTCTGGTATGCCGAAGGTCTTACAAAGCCAGAAAGAGAGATCCTCATTGCTGTGCGCAATAGGCAACAGACAATGCCGGGAACAGTGGAAGTACGCAAGCAAATTGGAAGGTATTTGTTCGGGGCTCGTGTTGAGCTGGGTGAGCCTCTCTTTGTCACTGTATCTCCAACTACTCGGCATAACGGTCTGTGCATGAGATTCTCAAGGTATCGAGCTCGGGACCCCGCTGCGCAAGAGATGCGCGGACCTTGGTTCGCGAGAGACAAGCCGCCTCTCTGGAACAAAGATGAGCTTGCAGACATTGACCTACCAGACTACGAGGTGCGAAGGGCGCTGACTGCACGTGATCCATGGGCGACTGTGCTGGCTTTTCAACGCATGATACGTTTCGTATTCGGAGAACTGCTTGGAATAAGGCTGTGCCCGGATTGCCCGCACTGTGCTTGTAATGACCAATGGGGGCAAGGTTTCCACGTTGGCGGCGGTGTGCTCGGTCTGGTCAAGGGCATCTGTGGAGCAATCGAGTACCAAAGTAATTCAGCACCCCACTTTCATGGACATGTTTACATTGCAACAGTCTGGCAGCAGCCCTTGAAAGTGTTAGCTGAACAAGTGGAACAACAATTGATGACCAAAGAGAAGATCTTCCAGTTTCACCAGTGGGTGCACAACGAAGTCTATTTTGACAAAGCAAAACAAGAGCTGGACGAAGCAGCCGTTGAGAGATCCTGGGCCGGGAACTACCAAGAAGAGGCAAAGAATCAGCTGTCCCTGTGGCCGCAATTCCTGGCAAACGACCATGGTGCAAGCCCTTGGCTGGATGCGAGCATGACCGAAGCCGCTGCAATGACAGAAGCCGCTGAATACAAGAACGCCTACAAAGCGGCAGTGCAAGAAAAGATGTTGCATTATCAGCATCACGTCCACCCGTGGGATAAGGAACGGAAAGAACGGAAGCTTTTGCCGGCGTGTCACAAGAAAGGGTCGCACAAAAAATGCAAGCACAATTTCCCGAAGAAGCTGAACTTGATGCCGAGAGTTATTTGCCGTGGAAACTCACGCAAATATGGGGTGAGCACGCGCGGTCGTCGGAACGCGCTTGGCGCCGTATTGGGGCAGCGGCACAATGAGTGGTTGTCTGGGACTGCCCCTGCTTTTTCCTTGATGCTCATGGGCAACAGTCACACTGCCCCCAATTTCCGGGTTCCTTTGTGCAAAAGCACGCACGATGAAGACTGCAAACGGAAGTGCTTGGAGAAATTATATTTATTATTGTATATATTGTGAAAAGACATATACGTATATATTATTGTGTGTATGCAATAGTAGATATATATATATATATGTGTGTCTACTATTGTATACAGTATCTGTCCCAAATCTGGAACTTGCAACCTTTTGGCTTGCAAAACCGCCATGCCCACGAAGCCAAACATGTAGCTTCGGGGATCATTGTGCACGAAAAAGAGATTGGAGGGCTTTGTCCCAAGAAAGAAGATGCCATGATGGTGACCCAATATGTCCGCAATAAATATCAAAGGGAGCCAACATTGATTCCTGAAAACAGGTTGTTTCTACATCAAGGACGCAAGGTTCTTTTGCCGTGGATGTCTTCAGACACGAGCTTCGGTGACTTGACAAGGGGATCGCCCAGGCATGTCTTGGCAGCAGTTGAAGCCGTTGAAGCTACAGCGAGTCGTCATGCCGCTAAGCGGCTAAGCAAAGTAAGTGTGTTGAGTGCTCCAACTGCCTCAAGGAGTGCATGTCTGCCTTTTTCCACTACGCCGGCATTGTCCGTAGCCGAAGGCTGTCGGGAACGCCCTCGACACGTAGCTCAATCGGCCCCTGCAAAAGTGCGGCAGATCGAGTGTATAGTATCTGGGGGCAACCATTGCAACAGCTGCATTTGCTGGAAAAAACACAAATACAGTACGAAGGACAGTGGAAACTCAAGGAAGTGCTTTTGGTTTTGACCTCCTCTGTCATGCTATCCTCATTTTAGAGTCATCAATTATTCATTTCAAAACGCAGACAAATACAAAGATTGCACGCACCCCTATGTGAAACAGTTAAGCAGATCGTTGCGGAAATAACTTGCACAAGCTTCAAATTTCACATTCTGAACTTGCTGTGGCAACAACCCGCAGTCACTGCATGACGGTGAAGACGGAAGCAAACACAGTCCCACCGCAACACGTCGCCTTCCCCTTCGGACGTGGTAAACCTTTGCAGGGATTAGCACGATCAAACCAGAGTTGCGCGTTCGATTCGTGTAAAAGTATTCGAACAAAGCGAAAGGAAGTGATCAGGTTCTTTTTTAAACAGGCAGGAAGCGGAGTAATCAAACCAGAGTTGCGCGGTCGATTTTTGTAGAAGTATTCGAACAAAGCGAAAGGATCAGGTTCTTTCTTAAAAGGGCAGGAAGCGGAGTAAACACTTCTCTGTGTAAAACCTTCTGTGTGTAAAAAGCTCCTTTGTGTGAGGTCTTCTCTGTGTAAAAGCCCCTGGGTGTGTAAAAGCTTGCTGTGTGTAAATGCTTTTGTGTGTAAAAGCTTCTTCTGTGTGAAGACTTCTCTGTCTAGACGCTTCTGTGTGCAAACGCGTCTGTGTGTAAAAAGCCCTCTGTGTAAACGCGTCTTTGTGTAACAGCTTCTGTGTGCTTTGTGTAAAGACTTGTCTGCGTAGACGCCTCTGTATGTGTAAAAGCTTCTCTGCGACTCCTCCCGCCAGCTTCCTTTCGGGTCACGCTGTCGTCCAATTTCAATCTGCAACATTCTTTCTTGTGGAAGAATGCAAAGAACAGGTGAAAGCATCGCAGCGTTTTTTGCGTTCATCAACGCAAAAATCGGTTCAAAAAGGGAAGAGAATGCTGTAATTTACAGGGGTTTGCTTTGTGTAAAAACTTCTCTGTGTCAACGCCCCTGTATGTGTAAAAGCTTCTGTGCGACTCCTCCAGCCAGCTTTCTTTCGGGTCACGCTGTCGTCCAGTTTCAATCTGCGACATTGTTTCTTGTGGAAGAATGCAAAGAACAGGTGAAAGCATCGCAGGTTAAAAAATTGAACATAAACAGCGCACAAAGTGCTGTAATTCACAGCATTTTGCGCTGTCAGATGGCAAGAACTCACGTAAATACCACAGTTTTGGTCCCCGAAAGTGGCCCGAACACTGTTATTTACAGTGTTTCGTTCACGTCACAATCTTCGATTTTTTGAAAAACGCGTAAATACCAGCGTTTTTTGCGTTCATCAACGCAAAAAATCGATTCAAAAAGGGAAGAAAATGCTGTAATTTACAAGGGTTTGGCGCCGCCACGGGCAAAAAAACTGCGTAAATACCAGCGTTTCGGCGTCCAGAAGTGGCCAAAACACCGCTATTTACAGTGTTTCGTGCCTTCCACGTTTTCTTGAAATTGCAAAAACACCGTAAATACTAGCATTTTCTGCGATCAACCCGCCAAAAATGCTGTAATTTACAGTGTTTTTTTGCTTGGCTTTCAAAAACACTGGTATTTGCAGTGTTTTGTGCATCTCGGGTCCAAAAAGTATTAGTATTTACAGCATTTTCTGCGTTTTTGACTGGCTCCCGCAAAAGACGTTAAAACGCAAAAATGCTGTAATTTACAGCATTTTGTGACTTTCGAAAAGCAAAATATCGTCCGAAAAATGTGTCAAAACGGCGCTTTTTTCCGATTTTAGGTACCCTCAAAACGGGGGGGGGGCCTTTTGCTCTTGGAGACGCTTATGAGCGACCCGGATTCCGGCCAAAAAGCTCTCCCCCACCCTCCTGAAGGATTTTTGGTGTTTTTCGGGGCCCGGCGTCGGAGGGTCGGCGGCTTGGGGCGCGCCTCACCTTAGAGCTCTAGTCGCTCTGGGACGCTCGTAGGGCAAGCCACTCGTGGGGAGCCGGCGGAGCCGAATTTAAGGGCTGCCGCCCCTGCCGCCGACCCCGGAGAAAAAAAGAGGTTTGCAGGAGAAGAGACGACATATGACCTTCGAGGTTCCAAAACTTTGCAGCATCACGGGCTTCCTTCGCAGCCCTCGGCGCACTTGGCACTTTGGTGACGCTCAATGGCAACATTCAGTTTGTGTCGCAAGATGGCGATATGTAACAACTGATGTTTGATATTTTCTGCGTGCTTGGTAGCTTTGATGTCTTTCCATATCACTGAGACAGAAGGTGCCGTTCCATGCTTTTGGCCTTCAAACGAGAGAGCGATGTGTTTCTGAGAGCAAGGCAGGTGCTTTTTGCCATTGGAAAGAAAACACCATGGCACTGAAGGACGGATGGGCCAGGAAAAAGTGACCCAAAACTGCCTAACGTGTCGTCTGAAACTGCTCTAGAAACCAGGCTAGCCTCCGGATGCTGAGTCCTGGCTGCTGACGACTGGCTGCCTGCTACCTGCTTCGTGACTGCTGGCTACTCGCTGCTGCTGGCTGCTAGCTGCTCCTGCCGCTGGCTGCTGCAAAAACGTAGGTCCCCTAACGTGTCGTCTGAAACTACTCTATAAAAAAGGCTAGCCCCCAGATGCTGAGTCCTGGCTGCTGACGACTGGCTGCCTGCTACCTGCTGCTCTCGCTGCTGCTGGCTGCTAGCTGCTCCTGCCGCTGGCTGCTGCAAAAACGTAGGTCCCGGACGGGAAAACACCATGGCACTCAAGGACGGATGGGCCAGGAAAAAGTGACCCAACACTGCCTAACGTGTCGTCTGAAACTGCTCTATAAACAAGGCAACCCCCCGGATGCTGAGTCCTGGCTGCTGACGACTGGCTGCCTGCTACCTGCTTCGTGACTGCTGGCTACTCGCTGCTACTGGCTGCTAGCTGCTCCTGCCGCTGGCTGCTGGAAAAACGCAGGAAATGATTTCACTGGGGGCTTCTTAGAAGCCGACTCCCTGGCTCTGACAACTTCCGGGGCAGTGTGTGGCCTCAAACTCGGCCGAGGCCGCTTTGCTGCTCGGTGGAGGCCTGGATCCCCATCAAAGGCCCCCTCCTGGGCAAGGTTTACACTGGGCACCCCAGGTCCCGGACGGGAAAACACCATTGCAGCCGCTGCTGCTGCTGCTGCTGCTGACAGAAGAGTACCAAAAGCACCTCCCGGCACCAAAACAGAAAGGCACGGAAGGACGAACAGGCCACAGAATCGCACCGAAAAAGTGCCTAACGTGACTTCTGAAACCCGACTAGAACTGAAGACCTGAGGGAACTGATGAGAGAGATACTAGACGGCTGCTGCTGCTGGCTGCTGCTGCTGCTGCTGCTGGTGTTGCTGCTGCTGCTGCTGCTGTTGCTGCTGCTGCTGCTGACAGAAGAGTAGCAAAAACACCTCCCGGCACCAAAACAGCACGGCACGGAAGGACGAACAGGCCACAGAATCGCACCGAAAAAGTGCCTAACGTGACGTCTGAAACCCTACTAGAACTGAAGGCCTGAGGAACTGATGAGAGATACTAGACTGCTGCTAACTCTACTAGAACTGAAGCCCTGAGGGAACTGATGAGAGATACTAGACGGCTGCTGCCGTTGCTGCCGCTGCTGCTGCTGCTGCTGCTGACAGAAGAGTACCAAAAGCACCTCCCGGCACCAAAACAGCAAGGCACGGAAGGACGAACAGGCCACAGAATCGCACCGAAAAAGTGCCTAACGTGACTTCTGAAACCCGACTAGAACTGAAGACCTGAGGGAACTGATGAGAGAGATACTAGACGGCTGCTGCCGTTGCTGCTGCTGCTGCTGCTGCTGGTGCTGCTGCTGCTGCTGCTGCTGCTGCTGGTGTTGCTGCTGCTGCTGCTGACAGAAGAGTAGCAAAAGCACCTCCCGGCACCAAAACAGCAAGGCACGGAAGGACGAACAGGCCACAGAATCGCACCGAAAAAGTGCCTAACGTGACTTCTGAAACCCTACTAGAACTGAAGACCTGAGGGAACTGCTGAGAGATACTAGACGGCTGCTAACTCTACTAGAACTGAAGACCTGAGGGAACTGATGAGAGATACTAGACAGCTGCTGCCGTTGCTGCCGTTGCTGCTGCTGCTGCTGCTGCTGACAGAAGAGTACCAAAAGCACCTCCCGGCACCAAAACAGCAAGGCACGGAAGGACGAACAGGCCACAGAATCGCACCGAAAAAGTGCCTAACGTGACTTCTGAAACCCTACTAGAACTGAAGACCTGAGGGAACTGATGAGAGATACAAGACGGCTGCTAACTCTACTAGAACTGAAGACCTGAGGGAACTGATGAGAGATACTAGATGGCTGCTGCTGTTGCTGCCGCCGCTGCTGCTGCTGCTCCTGCTGCTGCTGCCGCTGCTGCTGACAGAAGAGTACCAAAAGCACCTCCCGGCACCAAAACAGCAAGGCACGGAAGGACGAACAGGCCACAGAATCGCACCGAAAAAGTGCCTAACGTGACTTCTGAAACCCGACTAGAACTGAAGACCTGAGGGAACTGATGAGAGAGATACTAGACGGCTGCTGCCATTGCTGCTGCTGCTGCTGCTGCTGCTGCTGACAGAAGAGTAGCAAAAGCACCTCCCGGCACCAAAACAGCAAGGCACGGAAGGACGAACAGGCCACAGAATCGCACCGAAAAAGTGTCTAACGTGACTTCTGAAACCCTACTAGAACTAAAGACCTGAGGGAACTGATGAGAGATATACTAGACGGCTGCTGCTGCTGCTGCTGCTGCTGACAGAAGAGTAGCAAAAGCACCTCCCGGCACCAAAACAGCAAGGCACGGAAGGACGAACAGGCCACAGAATCGCACCGAAAAAGTGCCTAACGTGACTTCTGAAACCCTACTAGAACTGAAGACCTGAGGGAACTGATGAGAGATACTAGACGGCTGCTAACTCTACTAGAACTGAAGACCTGAGGGAACTGATGAGAGATACTAGACAGCTGCTGCCGCTGCTGCTGCTGCTGCTGCTGCTGACAGAAGAGTAGCAAAAGCACCTCCCGGCACCAAAACAGCAAGGCACGGAAGGTCGAACAGGCCACAGAATCGCACCGAAAAAGTGCCTAACGTGACTTCTGAAACCCTACTAGAACTGAAGGCCTGAGGAACTGATGAGAGATACAAGACGGCTGCTAACTCTACTAGAACTGAAGACCTGAGGGAACTGATGAGAGATGCTAGACGGCTGCCGTTGCTGCCGCTGCTGCTGCTGCTGCTGTTGCTGCTGCTGCTGCTGACAGAAGAGTACCAAAAGCACCTCCCGGCACCAAAACAGCAAGGCACGGAAGGACGAACAGGCCACAGAATCGCACCGAAAAAGTGCCTAACGTGACTTCTGAAACCCGACTAGAACTGAAGACCTGGGGGAACTGATGAGAGAGATACTAGACGGCTGCTGCCGTGGCTGCCGTTGCTGCCGCTGCTGCTGCTGCTGCTGCTGCTGGTGTTGCTGCTGCTGCTGCTGCTGCTGCTGACAGAAGAGTAGCAAAAGCACATGACGGCACCAAAACAGCAAGGCACGGAAGGACGAACAGGCCACAGAATCGCACCGAAAAAGTGTCTAACATGACTTCTGAAACCCTACTAGAACTGAAGACCTGAGGGAACTGATGAGAGATATACTAGACGGCTGCTGCTGCTGCTGCTGCTGACAGAAGAGTAGCAAAAGCACCTCCCGGCACCAAAACAGCAAGGCACGGAAGGACGAACAGGCCACAGAATCGCACCGAAAAAGTGCCTAACGCGACTTCTGAAACCCTACTAGAACTGAAGACCTGAGGGAACTGATGAGAGATACTAGACGGCTGCTAACTCTACTAGAACTGAAGACCTGAGGGAACTGATGAGAGATACTAGACAGCTGCTGCCGTTGCTGCCGTTGCTGCCGTTGCTGCTGCTGCTGCTGCTGCTGACTGAAGAGTACCAAAAGCACCTCCCGGCACCAAAACAGCAAGGCACGGAAGGACGAACAGGCCACAGAATCGCACCGAAAAAGTGCCTAACGTAACTTCTGAAACCCATAGAAAATGATGACTTTAGCTACTGTTTTCTGCTGCTACTGAAGACGCTCCTGCTCCTGCTGCTGCTGCTGCTGCTGCTGCGGCTGGTGGCTAGCTGCGACGCCTAAAAACGAACCACTCCCAGCGGCAAATCCCCATGGCAGTGAAAGACGGAAAAGCTTCGAAAAAATTGCACCTCAAAAATACCTAATGTAACTTCTGAAACCCATAGAAATTAGACTTCAAAAGTGCTGCTGCTGGTGGCTAGCTGCGACGCCTAAAAGCGAACCACTCCCAGCGGCAAATCCCCATGGCAGTGAAGGACGGAAAAACTCCGAAACTGCACCTCAAAAATGCCTAATGTAACTTCTGACTTCCGTTCAAAAAAAGGGTCTGCTGCTGCTGCTGCTGACAGAAGAGTAGCAAAAGCACCTCCCGGCACCAAAACAGCAAGGCACGGAAGGACGAACAGGCCACAGAATCGCACCGAAAAAGTGCCTAACGTGACTTCTGGAACCCTACTAGAACTGAAGACCTGAGGGAACTGATGAGAGATACTAGACGGCTGCTAACTCTACTAGAACTGAAGACCTGAGGGAACTGATGAGAGATACTAGACAGCTGCTGCCGTTGCTGCCGTTGCTGCTGCTGCTGCTGCTGCTGCTGCTGCTGCTGACAGAAGAGTAGCAAAAGCACCTCCCGGCACCAAAACAGCAAGGCACGGAAGGACGAACAGGCCACAGAATCGCACCGAAAAAGTGCCTAACGTGACTTCTGAAACCCTACTAGAACTGAAGACCTGAGGGAACTGATGAGAGATACTAGACGGCTGCTAACTCTACTAGAACTGAAGACCTGAGGGAACTGATGAGAGATGCTAGACGGCTGCTGCCGTTGCTGCCGCTGCTGCTGTTGCTGCGGCTGCTGACAGAAGAGTACCAAAAGCACCTCCCGGCACCAAAACAGCAATGCACGGAAGGACGAACAGGCCACAGAATCGCACCGAAAAAGTGCCTAACGTGACTTCTGAAACCCGACTAGAACTGAAGACCTGAGGGAACTGGGAACTGATGAGAGAGATACTAGACGGCTGCTGCCGTTGCTGCCGTTGCTGCCGTTGCTGCCGTTGCTGCTGCTGCTGCTGCTGCTGCTGGCTGCTGCTGCTGCTGCAGCTGCTGCTGCTGCTGCCGCTGCTGCTGGTGTTGCTGCTGCTGCTGCTGCTGACAGAAGAGTAGCAAAAGCACCTCCCGGCACCAAAACAGCAAGGCACGGAAGGACGAACAGGCCACAGAATCGCACCGAAAGAGTGTCAGGGAACTGATGAGAGATACTAGACGGCTGCTAACTCTACTAGAACTGAAGACCTGAGGGAACTGATGAGAGATACTAGACAGCTGCTGCCGTTGCTGCCGTTTCTGAAACCCTACTAGAACTGAAGACCTGAGGGAACTGATGAGAGATACTAGACGGCTGCTAACTCTAGTAACTGAAGACCTGAGGGAACTGATGAGAGATACTAGACAGCTGCTGCCGTTGCTGCCGTTGCTGCTGCTGCTGCTGCTGACTGAAGAGTACCAAAAGCACCTCCCGGCACCAAAACAGCAAGGCACGGAAGGACGAACAGGCCACAGAATCGCACCGAAAAAGTGCCTAACGTGACTTCTGAAACCCTACTAGAACTGAAGACCTGAGGGAACTGATGAGAGATACTAGACGGCTGCTAACTCTACTAGAACTGAAGACCTGAGGGAACTGATGAGAGATACTAGACAGCTGCTGCCGTTGCTGCCGTTGCTGCTGCTGCTGCTGACTGAAGAGTACCAAAAGCACCTCCCGGCACCAAAACAGCAAGGCACGGAAGGACGAACAGGCCACAGAATCGCACCGAAAAAGTGCCTAACGTAACTTCTGAAACCAATAGAAAATGATGATTTTAGCTACTTTTTTCTGCTGCTACTGAAGACGCTCCTGCTCCTCCTGCTGCTGCTGCTGCTGCTGCCTCTGATGCAAACATGCCTGCTGGCTGCTGCAAGTCCTTTTCTTCCATCTTTTTCCCTTACGCGCTCCCCCTTGCGTCGGCCGGGGTCGGCGGATATATATATATATTTTAATGTTATATATTGTTATATATTGCTGTATAAAGTTTTTTTAATGTTACATATATGATATTGTTATATATTGTTGTATAATGCTACATATTGTTGTAACATGTTTGTTAATGGTATATGATGTTATATATTGTTGTACAATGTCTTATACTATTTTATATTTATATATATATATGTATATATATATATATGTATATATACATATATATTTAAATAATGTTATATATTGTTAATGTTATATATATATATTTACGATGTTATATAATGTTATCCGATGTTTTATAATGTTATATATTGTTGTTTGATGTTATATAATGTTATGTATTGTTTTATAATGTTATCTAATGTTGTATAATGTTATTTAATGTTATATATATATTGTTGTATAATGTTCTATAATGTTATATATATATACATACATATTTAAATTAAATAATCTTATATATTGCTGTATAATGCTGTATAATGCTGTATAATGGTTTATAACTTTATATAGCGTAATGATAGCATAATGGAAACAATAATGGGAATATGATTGGATGTCTGGAATCAGAAGGGTTATGATAGAGTATACAGATCTTTCAGCGATCTTCGAGATATAGATGTGTCGTATGTACAGATATGAGGTAAGGAAATATACTACTGCATATCCACATGCCTATTATGTACATGCGTACATACCCCTAGATGAACCGTTGCAAACGATAACTCCAGCCACTTTATGAGTTCAGAACGCATGTGTTTGGGGCCCCAACCTGGGCACCAACAGGGTATTGATCAAGAATTATTGGATTTCCATTGCATGCATGGTTTAATCAGCCCACCCAAAATGGATGGTTCAATTGGATTCAATTGGTAATTAGATGTAATGAGTAGGAAAAAACATGATCACGTTTGTGGGTGCAAACAGGAAATTTCTTGAATCATCGCCGAGCCACTGAGGCCGTTGTCTGTTCGCGCACAAAATTCCACTTCACGAGCCTCCGGTCAATCCTTCAGTGAGAGGCTGGTTGGGGTCGGTGGGTGTACCCTTTTTGTCCCAATAATGGGGGACTAATAGACTAACCCACCAATTATCTGGATCCAGGTTTGAGAATCTCTTATGTCTTTGGGCTTTCTCAATCGGGAAAACATCATATGGATTTTGGGGTACCCTACTTTCACACAACCCCAGTTGGGTAATTTGGATCCCATCAGTTTAGCTTGTTTTTTTTTGCGACACATCTTTTCAAAGCTTGGTGCCATGTCGAGTGATCTAGTGGAACCACATGGATCATCAGGGGGTGGTGGAATCTCGAAATGGCCACTAAAATTTCGTGAGGTTCCCCCAGGTTCGTTCCACTTTTTTGGCCCAGACCTAGATGATCCAAAGGGTCAAGAATGTAGGGGCCAAGTTTGGTCTCCAGCCTAAGATGCGTAAAGCAATCCAATCTTCTTCTAAATTATGACCAAACTTTCACCCCATAGCCCATAGATATCCATAGATGTTAAAAGCATGCAGCGCCCCCAGCAATGTTTGGATCAGAATCAGCTGGTACTCTCCAGTCATCAAAAAGTGGCAATAGAAAATCAGGAACATCTCCTAGACTGTAGATTAAAATTTGAAATAGATGATTCTATATAGTAAGCCTGAAACAGATAGAACAGGACTTTACCACTATTTTTTGCAGGGATTTACGGTTTCTATTTTTTTTTTGGGAGGTTGCTATAATATATACATTATATATACATATATAATCATATATACATACTGTATATACATATATACTTATATACTATGTATATATATATACATACATACATATAGCACATATTTTATAATTATACTGATAGGTCCTGGTAGGTTGAAATTTCCATTGGTTGCTCCCATCCGCAGGACTCCGGCGCAGGCCATCTGGGGGGGGATATGGATGGATATGGGGGGTAGCCCCTAATTTACGCACACCCATATATATCAATGGGAATTTCAGGATCCTAAAATGGAGGTACGTTAGTACCATATTTCTGGCCATATTTTGTGGGGAATATTCCCATAGGCCTGAAAAATAGGCCTTATATATGGTAGGTACCTCCATTTTAGGATCCTGAAATGGCCATTGAATATATATATATATAATTATATATATATAACGACCTCACTGCGACCTCACTGGAATCATGGTTAGTAAGGGGAATCATCCCCAAATGGCCGAACTATTCAGGTTGTCTGCTCGCGGGGCATGGGCCGGGGGAAACGGAAGAGGAGTGGCCGAACTATTCAGGTTAGTGAAATATGAAAATTTACCCAGATATATGTACCTATAACATAATTTCATGTAATGCAATATGATATAAGACAATCTACTGTATGTACTATTTTGTATGCATATAACGTACATGTATAATGTGTATATATATATACATGCAATATACACACTACATATACATTATGAAATTTATTGATATGTACATTGTATCTTGTACATATCATATGATACACATTACTGGCACATCACATGTTCCATTACATTCCAAATACGAGGATCTACCCTCAAACATGTGGTTTGATTTCAAGAAGTGTTGAGGCCATGTGAGAACTTTTTCAGAAAACCATGGAGGGTGAAGGGTTTTCAGTCATGAACCGTGGATGGGAAAACATTCTTTTTCCAAAAGGGAAACTCCTCCAGAGGTCGAGAATGGAGGAGTTAAAAGCACACAGAGATAGAGAGGGAGAGAAAGAGAGACAGCAGACTGAAACCTGGAGCTGGATTATTAAGTATATATATATATATATATATATATATTATATTATATATTATTTATATGCGGCCAAACACTACACGAAGGCAAATTTGAAGATCTATGCATATCATATAATATCATAGCACAACATATCTCATATTATACATGTTATAATGTTATATAATTATATATATATATATTAGAGAATATAATCAATAAAAAATAAACTATATAATCGAAGGAAGTTTAGAAGTCAAACTTCCGACAATATGGAGAGATGAAAAGCAGAGCAGGGAAGAGGCAGAGAGAAGAGAAAGATTAGAAGAAAGAAGAGTAGAAGAGAAAGAGTAAGAAGACAGAAGATGCAGATGCGCGAAAAGGTAGGAAAGTCGCGAAACACTGTGTTTTTCCAATGATCTGTGGCTCCGGAGGGTCGAAAAGTAGGCTCGCTAAAGCGGTGGGTGCGGAGCCAGCTGGCCAGATGAGAGATGAAAAATTGCACGCCGTTGTGGCGCGAAGCACATTTCGAAGTCAAAATGTACAAAACACACCAGGTCCGGACCACTTTTGGAAGTTGAGATGTCGAAAAAGTGCACGCCGTTGTGGCGCGAAGCACATGTCGAAGTCAAAATGTACAAAACACACCAGGTTCGGACCACTTTTGGAAGTTGAGATGTCGAAAAAGTGCACGCCGTTGTGGCGCGAAGCACATTTCGAAGTCAAAATGTACAAAGCACACCATGTTCGCGACCACTTTTGGAGTTGGATGTCGAAAAAGTGCACGCCGTTGTGGCGCGAAGCACATTTCGAAGTCAAAATGTACAAAACACACCATTCTCGGACCACTTTTGGAAGTTAAGATGTCGAAAAAGTGCACGCCGTTGTGGCGCGAAGCACATTTCGAAGTCAAAATGTACAAAACACTACATGTTTGCGCCACTTTTGGAAGTTGAGATGTCGAAAAAGTGCACGCCGTTGTGGCGCGAAGCACATTTGGAAGTGAAAATGTACAAAAAACTAGGGGTTTGGACCACTTTTGGAGCTTCAGATGTCGCTTCGCTTCACTACACTACATTACACTACACTACACTCCACTATACTACACTACATTACACTACACTACACTCCACAACACTACAACTACAACTACACAACTAGACTACACTCCACTACACTCCACTACATTACACTACACTACATTACACTACACTCCACTATACACTACACTCCACTACACTACATTACACTACACTACCTTCCACTACACTTCACTACATTACACTACAACTACGACTACACAACTACACTCCACTACACTACACTACATTACACTACACTACGATACACTGCATGACACTGCACCACAGATAGACAGGTAGACAGGTAGACGGATAGACAGATAGACAGATAGACAGATAGACAGATAGACAGGTAGACGGATAGACAGATAGACAGATAGACAGATAGACAGATAGACAGATAGACAGATAGACAGATAGACAGATAGACAGATAGATAGAAAGAAAGAAAGATAGATAGATAGATAGATAGACAGCTAGACAGATAGATAGATGAAAGAGAGAGAGAGAGATAGATAGATAGATATATAGATAGATAGATAGATAGATAGATAGGTAGGTAGGTAGGTAGATAGATAGATAGATAGATAGATAATGAGATAGGTAGATGGGTAGATAGGTAGATAGGTAGATAGGTAGATAGGTAATTAGATGAAAGAGAGAAAGAGAGAGATAGATAGCTAGATAGATAGATAGATACATAGAAGATAGATAGGTAGGTAGATAGTCAGAGAACGAGAGAGACAGAGAGGAGACCTCAAGCACCTTTTGGTCCATCAGTGGATTCGTTTTGCCATCCCTGATTCACAACAACCAACCTCTCCTATAGGTTTTCTATTCTTGAAACTTCCGCCACCGCCTTGTGCGGTACTACTGGTACATAATATAGCATAAAATAATTTAGTATGATATATCATATAATCTCATCTCATCTCATATCATCTCATATCATATCATATCATATCATTACGAAGCCATAAATCGCTATTAATGGATATTTTGGGAATTCTCCTGGACAGGAGGCTCCTGAGCTCAGCTATCCCAGCTCCGATTTGGACGGGCTTCTGAGGCGGGGAAGGATCTTTCCACCTAAAATATGCCGGGTTTTATCATCATTTTCCCCATTTCAGCCATTTTACCCTCTGGTAAACTAACATCACTGATGGGAAAATCGACATGTTTAATGGGTAAATCAACTATTTCTATGGCAATTTTCAATAGCTATTTTGACATAACCAGAGGGTAGGTGGCTTTTCTCATGCTTTCAGAATGAATTTATCCCAGGGCACCTCCACGACATATCCCCATGACATGGCTGGTTAGTTATCCCCATGATCTTTTCAAACAAAGCTATACAAGGCGGTGCCCCACTTCATCGCTAGCTTGGTGAACAAAACTCCGATTTATATAACTTGGGTAGGGCTATAACGGTATAACTATAGCATTCATGGGGATTATAAACTTTATAAACCAACAAACATCACTGGGGGGCACCACTTTGGGTATATATGTATCTCTCTCTCTCTCTATTTATATATATATTATATTATATATATATATTATATAATATATTATATATATATGTACATGTTTTCATTTAAAAAATGTGGCGATATTGTTTTTGTTTCAAGCATCGAATGTTGGTTCGACCCTCCCACCGATTTTTGCTGGTAAACTAACAGGTTGCTATGGAAAATCACCATTTTTAGTGGGTAATCACCATCGTTAATGGGAAAATCACCATCTTTAATGGGAAAATCACCATCCTTAATGGGTAAATCACCATTTTTAATGGGTAAATCAACTATAAATGGGACATTTTCCATATACCACGTGAAGTTACCAAAGGCTAAATCCAGAGTTTTGCCCACCCCAAAAGCCTGAATTTTAAAACCCAGAGGTACCTCCGCGACTTGGATCAGAAAGGCCTTCGCATGACCGAGGTCGGAGGAGCATCTTGAGGAAATATGGGAAAATACTGATGCAAAGATCATTGATTTCTGACATTTGGATGTTTCAAAAATGGAGAACATTGGGACTTGCATTGCTGTCCTGATTTTGAGAAAGTAGCATCTGGAAATCAAAGATGGTGTGAAATCATCATATCGAATGGATGGGAATGGGATAGTTTTTGAATGCCAGGCTTGCAGTTAAATGTCAAGAGGTAGGATTCAGCCTGGTCCAAAGAAATCCTGCAACCAATGAGATAAACTTTATATAACTTTACAAAGAGAGTGTGCATCAGGCATCAGGAAGGGCGTCATCAGCAACATGGGATTTCCCAGCCATGTCTGAGTGCAGGGTGTTCTGTTTTTCTTTAGCCTCCGGTAAACTAACAGTATTGCTATGGAACATCACCAATCATAGGTAAATCAACTATAAATATTATAAACGAGCCATTTTTTCAATAGCTATGTTAGTTTACCGGAGGGTATATTCATTCACCCTGCTCTGCTCCTCATGGCTACCCATCTGCAGAGGTAGTTTACTCCGTGAATTCCTGGATGTTGCTGTGACCTCAGGGGCACCCAAGTTATTGCCAGTGGTAAAGCCATGAATGGATGGTATATGCCAGAATTCTCCAATGATGCATGGAAAGTCATGGATATTGCATGATATCATTGATATCATCATAGAATCAGAATTTAAATGGTAGAACATCATGATACTGAAGTCCAAGCCTCAGCAGTGGAATCAGGTTTTCCACTGGCAATCCGTGTACTGTATGTACATATATATATAACTCCCTTACTGTTAAAGAAACGCCTTAAATGGTCCCAAATATGTGATTTCATGCCCTAAACTAAACCATAGTTTTTATGTAGTGTTTAATATTAGGAGGATGGGATTACAATTGCAGAATATCTATGTATATTTCATAGTATATTATATATGTTTGAAGAGAGTGTCCCTATGGCACCCGCTTAGCAACTGAGGTATGGTCTGATTCCCTTGAGGCACCATGGATTGATCCTGTACTCCGAGGCTGCTGGAGCGCTGGTGGCACATTGGCAATGGGAAATCCTCCAGTTCCGATGATTTCCCCGGCTATAAAGCTCCAATTTGTAGGGGATGTTCGATGATTTCCGCCATGTTTGATGACACCAGAGGGTAACCTTAAATGGATTCCGCCCCCGAACAATGGGCTTTAAGAAGGCCCTGATGGGTGACCTTTTTTTAAGGACTTCCCATGGATTTCCATGAGTTGCCCCTGGTTGACATTTCCTTACAGATGTTCCGTGGCTTCAACGAGTGACATTCTCTTGTCCGCAAAGGTATTCCCAATTCCGATAGAGTGCCTGATGTGCCAAGTGCGAGTGGCAGAGTCAGACAATTTGGATGGCCTGACAGAAATGCTGTACCTTCACTTCGTAAAGCTTCAAGGGAGGACCAAACAAAAACGCCGAGCGATTGGCACAGGCTTTGACTTTGACCCATACGCACGTAACTATCCCAGAATTATCCAGAATTCACATGTCATTCAACGAAGATACGAGTGTTTTGGAAAACAGTTGTTCCGCCCAGTTCGGTGCGTGTTCACACGCGGGAACCTTCGGAACCTTTTGGCTCATCTAAGTCGGTACATACATCCGCAGTTGATGGCGTCGTAGCAGTTTTTTCTACACCGGAATTCCGTAGGACGTCGTCACTTTACGAGAATTGAGAGGAAAATCTCTAGGAAACTCAACTCCTCTTTTCCCATAAAGCCATTGATTCACTGGCAGCTCTCCGTATCATTTGAAGGGCCCATTTGCCATGGCCGAGTTTGGTGATCATGACCATTGCCATACAAGGAGACTGGCGGTGAAGATCGGTGAAGACACGAACCAAAGCGTCAACGCCAACATGAAGAATCCCCCTTTATCATCCTTTATCTATGAATATCTATATGAGGATTTCCATAAATGCGGGTATCCCTAAATCATCCATGTTCAAGGGATTTTCCATTGAAAAAACCATGATTTGAACCATCATTTTGGCTTATCCCCATTTATGGAAACCTCCATAATATGTTGCACACTTCTTTTCTATAGATTTGCCATACATTCACAACCTACTAGTATACAATATTATATATTATATATATTATTGGTATCTACAGTATCTATCCATCTATTCATCCATCCCTGTATAGCTTGAATCATGGCTATGATGTCTGGCTAGTGAAATGCTTGGGCAAAGGGTTAGCCATTGTGTAGAGCAACACATAGCAAGATATTCAACATAATGTGGAGAAAATTATTGTGAAATCAATTTGCTACTGTGTATTGTATGTTTTTTTTGTCATACGAAGCTCCAATCAAATACGATTGGGACAATCACCAAATTTCCCGCAAGATACATTAAGACACATTACGCTACTATAATATACTATAATATAATATAATATATAATATAATATATAATATAATATATAATATAATATAATATAATATATAATATGATATAATATATAATATAAAATAATTTAATATATAATAATATATAATTTAATATAATATGATATAATATGATATAATATAATATAATATAATATAATATAATATAATATATACTATGATATAATATATAATATAATATAATATAATATATACTATGATATAATATATAATATGATATAATATATAATATGATATAATATAATGTAATATAATGTAATATAATATAATATATAATATAATATATAATATATAATATATAATATATAATACATACCACAATATAATACAATATAATATAATATAATGTAATATAATAATCTCATAAAATAATATATAGTAAATATACACATATGTATATATATATATATTACTATTGCAATAGTCCAAGATACTCCATTTTTGAATTCCCATGATAGTTCTGTCCCATCTTATCGGTCCAATCTCCTTTAAACAGCGCCGCGGTTACGTTTTTTCAACGGCCTTAGCCGCGGCACCAGGAAAGGAACGACTGTGCAGTCTCTGAAGAATGTCTTAAACCGTGCAGCACGGACAAAACCCATTCCTGAGGAGGAGTGATGGCCATGATGGCCTGGTTCTCCCGGGAAAACGTTGGTTTATAACATGTTATAAGCCCCATGAACATCCATGAACTATACTTAGAGATGGTTATATGTTATAATTATATCCCCTTAATCATCCCACCGTAGTGATGTTTTTGTTGGTTTAGAACCCCCATGAACTATATTGATTTATCTCCCAATCAACCCCAGTGAAACTGGAGTAGCACACATTTTAATTACGAAAATGAGATTCTAATTGCGAAAGACCTATCTTTAAAACCACCAAAGCACCTAATTGCGAACAAAAACAAGATGCTTATTCGCGAAAGAAGAACAATGCAACATGACTATGTATATATATACATGCATTGATATATATATATATATACATGCATTGATATATATATATATATGCACATATATACATTAATATATATATATATCATACATTGACATCTATACATATAACACATATTATGTATATATATATATATCTGCCTCTGTTGTTTTTGACCGATACTCCTCTAATTTTTGTTGATTCATTGCTCATTTTTTGCATAGCAAATATTATAGTTATTAGTGATGTGGTAGGTTGAAACCACCAGATGTGTCTGACATTTCCTGAAGATCCCAACAAAACGTGTACCAAGTTGGGTTGGTCTAAGAATGGGGCACCCCTTAAAATCCCTCCTGATTTATCATCAGTTTAGGGATTTTCTCATGTTTTCTCCATTATTTTCAGCCACACACCTAAATATATCTAAATCTCATCTTAAATTGGTGAGTTATATCCCATTCACCCCATGCTACCCCAGGATATCTCCGTAAAATGGCTAGTTGGTATTAGTTGGTTAGTTACCTTGGCCAAAAACCAACATAGACCATAGATGTGGAGTTTCTCCACCATTTTTTAGACGAAAAATCGTAGGAAACCCCTTGGGTTTTCTCACATCCCTCACTCAGGAGGAAGATGGTGTACTCCACCGTTGCCTGAGGCTGTCCAGAGATGTCCAGAGCTTTGGGTGGCAAAAATCCACTTGAGCAGTGTTCAAAACCCTGGTTGGTTGATGATAGGGGATTATACTACCCAATAGATATATATAATTATATATATATATATTGGGGATTACAATAATCCAATAGGGGAATCCCTATAAACCAACCAGGATTCAATGGAATGATAGAGGGATTTATTTCACACTGCTCACTTGGGATGCCGGGAACATGATCACGTCATGGGCCAATGGGCCAAATTTTCGGAGTGCTGAAAGTGATTTTCGGAGGGAAAGTTGTCATGAAAGAGCAGGGGATATCTAACCACCAAATGGTTTACCCTCTGGTAAACTAACATAACTATGGAAAATCACCGTTTTCAATGGGAAAATCCACTATAAATGGTCATTTTCAATAGCTATGCTAAATTACCAAATGGTTTACTCTCACTCCAACTGGCAACCGACCCTGCCATGAAATGGGGCTTGGAAGACTGACGTTCAGAAATTGGGATGAAGAGTTTTCAGGGTTTGTGTTAGTTGGGGGGGGGCGCAAAGTAGTCAAAGAAGTGGGTTCTAGGCCCAGAAATGATGGTTGTGTGAATCGGAGTAAAACTATGGCAACAGCTTTGATTTGGGCTGTGCATTAAGAGATGAAAAAGTTATCGGGCGTCCCTCTAATGGAAAATGACAACTCCAGGGATGGAGGAGAGTTGTAGCATCTAGACAGTTGCTAATGTACTTACACGAGTCTTGTTTCATGTTGTATACACGCACATGTTCACCATTGTACTCCAAAGTCTACATCCATCTCGCTTCTGTGTTTACATATGCATGTTTAAACGTACATACAATATATCTAGATACATATATTCAATTATTCAAGCATATATCATATATATATATACATAATATGTATCTATCTATATACATACACACATACATACCTACATAATGCCCCCAGAAAGCGCCCTTCTCCTTTTGCAGGACGAGGGACGTAGTGGGCCTTGGTCTGGGCGTCACAGTGGGTGCCGGTGTCTTCATGGCAACGGGAAAGGCATCTGAGGAAGCGGGACCTGCCCCTTGGACCCTGAATTTTTCAGCATCGGGAGGCGATCCCCAGAAACTTTCATCAATGGGAACCCTTAAAATGGCAAGATCTAAGACTGGAGAATTATGTTTGAGAGTGTTTTCTCGGCTTCTATGTGAAAATTTGGGGGTGTGATACGGGTTTAATTGTGACATTGGGTAAAATACATGAATTTACAATACCATTGGGTGAAAAAAATAGTTTATCATTGAGCACAGTAAACTCAGTAAACGCAATGTCTCTAAACATCTCTAAACCCATCCCCAGGGTTTATAGCTTCGTGTATAAATACTGTACCTCTATTTGGGATGATGTAAAATGACCCCCAAACAGTTGCTGGGATGGTTTATTATAGCATTTGATTTACGACCGTAGATCCAAATTGAAGGCCTTCAAAAACCGCAGATGGACTGGCCATTTTTATGTATATAGATAGTAATGGCAGTAAGCCATGACATGTTGATACATGTTGTTTGTACTCGAGTTTGACCCCGTTTTTTTAAGGATTTCAGCAAGCAACAATGGGGAAATTCCAAATTCAAGGTATAAACATTCTTCAGATGCAAGCGGCAGGGGATATCAAGCGACCAAGATGGTGATTTTGGCAACAGCTATGATTGGGATACGGTATTGGCAACGAACGTGGGGCGAATCATGATCTATTCATCACTCCGACTTCCGAAACGACCTGATGAATACCCCAAAAGATCTCTGGATCTGTCCAAACCACATGGGATACCCCAATGTGGCAATTTCAATAGGTCAACATGAGGTTTTAAACAACTTGAAACCATAACTGGTTGATGGTTTGGAACATTTTCTATTGTTCCATAGATTGGGAATAATCATCCCAACTGACTCAACTGACTTTCATATTTTTCAGAGGGGTGGCTCAACCACCAACCAGAAATGGACTTAGAATCTGGATGAGTATGGTATATGTTAGAAAAAATGCCTCAGTTATGACCATTCTTTGCCGATGCTTGGCGACTATCCGCAACTTTGGATTGTTTTTTTCCATGATTTTCCAGAAAAGAAACAGAGAAAACTGCCTCGATTCTCCACAGAACCTTGCCTGAACCGTCCAGCACGTCTAGGCCGTAACCATTGCTTTGCTCATTGCGGGCTTCGGATGTAGCTGCACAGGCGGCCGGGGCCAGGGATTTGAAAGTTAGTTGGAAAATCCCCGAACTGAATGGAGGTTTAGTTTGCTGGGGAAATCATGTATATATATATAACATATATATATAGAAGAGATATATATATAGAAGATATATATATATATAGAAGATATATATATAGAGAAAATATATATAGAAGATATATATATATAGAAGAGATATATATATATATAATATAATGATATATATATATGATTATAAACGGTCATATTTATATATGTCATTTTTGCAATGTTTGATTACCAGTGGGCAATCATTGCTGTGTATGAGATGCATTGAGATGTCTTGAAACTTTTTCTGGTGATTTGAACAAATAGCAGTGAAACGGTAAAACCCTTGAAATGTGGTACGTGTGGCATGACGTCGTAGCATACGGTCGAATACTCAGGTGTGGATTATGTCGCCGTTTTGCCGATTGAATGCCTATGCAATTCTTTTCATTTTTTTTGTTGGAAATTGATATTGTGCTTATAGAATGACCAGCATATAAACCCTGCTTCGTCACTAGATAACATGTGCATCAATGCGGGGATATCAGCACTTGAAAGTACCCCAACCTTTCGTATGGCAGAAAGCATCTGGATTTGTAGATGTTCAATGGTTACCTCGCACGGAGAAAGGCATCACCTGATTGCCGGTTCCAAACAACATCTTAGAATGTGTTGAAACATTGAAAAAGATCGATTTCCATCCTGTGAGGAATTTTCCAATTTGCACCAGCCCAAAGTTTGGGATGGCTGGCCCATGCTGGCCCGGTTTCTGGCCCGCGAGGCTTGTGCTATGCAGAGATGGCCAATTTGGCGCCATCTTCTGGAAGTTCCTATAGCTTTGTGTATCACTCGGCGGGTCCCTCGGCGGGTCCCTGGGATGATTTTGGTGAAACGACCAAGTAGAAAATGGTTGGATATGCAGTGAAGCAGATGCAAAGTTCCTTGGCAGGGTAATTTTGATCAACTACAACGACCATAGATGATGTTTCTTTTGATGGGAATCTCCAAAAAATCATCAAACATTTCAGGTTGGTCTGGTAAATTGAATTCAAATTCAGCCAGTTTCTCTTTTCTTTTGGGAAACATATTACGTATATAATTCCCCTTGGAATTTCCCCTAGGAAATGGCGGGCCTGGGCCCCACGATTACTTAGTGATTTGGATTTTATGGGTTTTCCATCTTTGACCACTTGCATTCTTTAGAGGCATATTGGTCGCTATTTGACCTCATCTGGTGGAAGCTGGAGGTTCCATTTTTTTGAGTTCCGGGTTATCATCCGGGACCACCTCTAAATTTACAATTTCCCATTCTTTAGACACCAGTTGTGTGTTTTCAAAAAACGAAGTTCCATTTTTTAGAGCACATTGGTTTAATGACATCACGAGGCCCTCCATTTTATAGAGCTCACTGGTTCAATGACATCAAGGGGTATGTGCTGGGGCCCTCCATTTTATAGAAAAAAACGTGCGGAAACACTGACATATCATAAACAGTTATAAAATATTATGATTTTTTAAAGAATGGTGGTCCAAGATCTTGAAATACAAACAATTTTTTCACATAATTTTACAACTTCTCTGTTCACCATTTCCTAGGGAAAAAAATAGAGGAAAAAAATGAAATTAAGCACTTTTCAAGCCAATCACCGGTTCTTCCATTTTATAGACATGCCTCTGTTTGTAGGACCCTCGGAGGTTCCATTCTATAGAGATTGGGGTTCCATTCTATAGAGATTTGTTATGATATGTTAGTCCGGTCTCTCCATTCTATAGAGCTTGGGGTTCCATTCTTTAGATGTCCCACTTCTAGCCCCCCTGGGTCCACTAAAGAATTGACCCACCCACCCTTTTTGCTTAATCCAGAGGGGGATCGTATATATATATATATTATATATATATGCTCGGTGGGACTTGTAGGGTGGGTGCAAGTCTGCATAGGAATCAGGGAATTCCCCAACATGACTCCATGACGAATGACGAGC